TCTTCCGATTTCGTCTCTCTATCCCTTCCTCTATTATATGGTGAGTACTTGCTTACACGATTTTGCAAGTTTGACAAGTATTTAATCATTTCAATGACTTGTTTGTGCAAAACATTTCGGGTTTATATGCACCTGTGGGTCTGAAACTGAGAAATTAAAGCATGAGCTGTGATTGTTTATACTGCATCAATAACCTTTGTTGTTTTTTTCCAGATGGCGCTAAGTCTCACATCCTGTGTTTCTTGTTTTGTTTTCGTAGATTGAGGATTTTGATATCGCAAAGACGGAAAAAGATATTGGCTTTTATGCTGGATTTGTGGGTGAGCTGACATTGTCACTGCATTGGCTCTGATATGTGCATTGGACTCCCATTTCTCTGGCATTTGTTCTAATTGACCTCTGAATACCTTTGAAGGTTGTGCATTCATGCTTGGCAGAGGAATGACATCTGTTTTCTGGGGTATTGTGGCGGATCGTTATGGAAGAAAACCGATTATACTCTTAGGAACCATCTCAATGTTAGTGTAATCAAGCTGCTTTTTTTTAAGTCTTGTATCCTCATTCTTGTTCAAGATGACTGATTAAAAATTTGATGCAGTGCCATTCTCAACGCTCTCTTTGGCCTTAGCTTAAATTTTTGGATGGCTGTTGCCACAAGGTTTCTTCTTGGTGCTTTCAACTGCTTGCTTGGAACGATGAAGGTGCCCTTTTTCTATCCCCTAGTCATTTCTTTGTATCCTTACTCCTACCTATCCAAAAAAGTACCTTCAGCTGTTAACAGAAAAACAAAATGAATTTCAACTTCTTCTCAGTTGCAATTTCCCATTTTCTGATGATGGTTAATTTGTCAACTTTCAGGCATATGCAACGGAGATATTTCGTGATGAATATCAAGCTACAGCAATGTCAGCTGTAAGCTTTTTATTGTTATTTTTCACCTTGTTTTGTCTGAAGATATTTCCATGACGTTCATCTTGTCATTCTGTCCAGGTTAGTACAGCATGGGGCATCGGATTGATCATTGGACCTGCTCTTGGAGGTTTCCTCGCCCAGGTAATGAATTATATTTCTTAGAACCTTGGTGAACGAAGAATATCTAAGCAGTTGATCTTACAGAAAAATTTTGGCTCACACACTTTCATCTTTCTTTCCTCAAATTGTCTGTGACCCAATTGTTGTTTCTTTTTGTTCCCTTCTAATGTTGCTAAATGTTTTTCAAATTCAGCCAGCAGATAAATATCCAAGTATATTCTCCAAAGAATCCATATTTGGCAGGTTATTACCTTTGCGGTGCCCGTGCAATCACCATTTCATCTCTACTCCATCACTGTTTACCTGTAATTAAATTTAATGGTTTTTGACAAACTAACATATGAACTGCAATGCAGATTCCCATATGCCTTACCCTGCTTCACTATATCAGTTTTTGCATTGTTGGTGACAATAGTATGCTGCTTCATTCCGGTATGCTCTTTACTGTCCCTTTGGGACTCTAGTTATTGTTTTTCTTCTCAAAGTCTTCATTTTCCAATCTTTTTCACGAATAGATGTAGCCAGTCATAGAGTTCATTCATTCAGAGCCAGGGGAGACCATCTGAACAAAGATTACAAGGCTTCTTTCATATTTCTCCCATGTAGGAGACATTGCACAATCACAAGCAGGATAGTACATATGAAACTTTGGAGGCTACTGGAAACAAAGAGAATAACAAAGGAAACAAGGATTCTAATGGATCTCTCTTGAAGAATTGGCCCCTGATGTCATCTATCATGGTGTATTGTGTTTTATGTCTTCATGATACTGCATACTCTGAGGTAAGCATTTGATGCTTACCGTCTGCTTAACTGTTTTGAGCTAATTAAAAATGTTACTTCATGTGCTAAAATCTTATGTTATACTTCATTCCTTGCTTGCTAATGTTAACTGCTTAAATTAGCAAGGAATGAGAAAAGGTTAACGAAAACAATGTTCTAAGCCTCTGTCATGGTGCTGCAGACATTGTCTGACAGTCTGAACAAATATCTTAATTACTTGGAATTGGCTTATGTAGATATTTGCATTGTGGGCTAACAGCCCACGGAAGTACGGAGGTTTGAGCTTCTCAACTAACGATGTCGGTACTGTTCTTGCTATCTCAGGTATGCAGAATCTCCTTGCTATTCATACTTACCCAAGTTTTGTTAAACGGTCTTGCAAGAATTTTTGTCTGAATCTGATTTGATGTTACGCTGCATGACAGTAAATCAGATATTGTTTGCGAATTTGTTCTCATAAAATCAGAAATGCTTTGAGTTACTAAAAAAACAGTTGGGTCGTCTTGTAGGTATCGGCCTATTTGTCTTTCAGGTCCTTGTATATCCCTTAGCCGAGAGACTGCTAGGACCCATACTCGTTACCCGATTTTCCGGGGTAAATTGATAATTTTTTTTATGCGAACTCCGTTTCTTATCGCTATTATTACGTGCATTGAAAACCTGTACAAGAAAACATCTTACTTTTCTTCTGACATATTTCTCTGTGCATACAGGCGTTGATGATACCTCTGCAAACGAGTTACCCGTTTATCGCCAACTTAACTGGCCTTAGCCTAAGCTTAGTATTAAATTCCGCATCCATCCTCCTGAATGTTTTAAGTGTAAGTCCTTACTGATTATCCTTCGCCAGAATCATCGTCCATTTCGATTTTCAAGTCTTTTGGATCATGCGTGGAAAACCGTTTCTTTATGACCGTGCTTATTTACAAACAGGTAAGCGCTATAACTGGCTTGTTGATCCTGCAAAATAAAGCTGTTGTAAGTACATTCAAACATACTCTCCCGAGACCCGTTTCTCCATTTTTCTCGTGTACGTTATGTTTATATCATCGAGATGCTCGAGTAAACTTCTTAATATCAAAACAACAGGATCAGCGTCAAAGAGGAGCGGCTAATGGTATCGCCATGACTGCAATGTCTCTCTTTAAGGCCATGGGTCCAGCTGGAGCCGGTGTCCTGTGAGCAACTTTCTCGGTTCAATATTTTACGGAAATAACAAGAATTTTTCGCTGCATTGAAATCTCTATTAAATGGAAACATTGCTTAAACATATCACAAATGTGTTTGCAGATTTTCTTGGAGCGAGAGGCGATTAGACGCTGCATTTCTCCCAGGTGCGCATATGGTGTTCTTCGTCCTCAACGTTATAGTGTTGATTGGTGTGGCTCTTACGTTCAAGCCATTTCTAACCACTCGACGATGATTGATCATGAACACAACATTGATGGATTTGCGGGAAAAAAAAATGGTATGAATTCGTAGTCCATAGATGTTTAAACAGATGGTAGCTTTTGCTTGGATGAACTGAACTGGTTAGGAGACCGGTAATGAAATTCAGCTAACCTTTAGGCCTTGGATTTTCATGTGCTTTTTTTTATAAAGAAAATACGTAATTTTTTTATTTGAATTAAAATTATTGGCACCAGGCTTTTTTTTCCTTTTCTTTTTTGGTTTAAGCAAATCCAAACCATAAGTTGTCATTGATTCCATATTCAGGATCAAGTGGAGTGTGTTAATTAAATACGGACCGTTCTCATTCCATGATTCACGCAATGATTTGTATGATATGAACTGTCCGTACAAAGTAGTGTATAAGTTACGTAGGGTTGAATGGTGGAGGCTGTCGTATTTATTCGCACAGATAAAATCTGAATATATACTTGTGTATATAATCCGACATATATAACTTCTATTTTCCATTAATGGAACATACGTTGAACAAATTTCTGATTTAAGATGGGCTTTATTAGGCCCAATATATTTTGCTATGATCCAAAACATATATCTTGACAGCTGGCACTGTGTATACGATTTTCACTGCGCGGTCAAGATCCGTTAGCCGAACCGGTTGAGAAATTGAACCGGTATGCATCGGTTTTCACGAAATCAGGAGAATCGATGCACGCATTTACAATTACAAATGGTAAAATACAAAAACAGTAATAATACCGTCCAGTTATTATAGATCTCTAAACCAACGGGCCAAAGTCAGAGAAAAGGTCAATTGTAAATAAATCTAAGACATAGGTTATGGTGACAAAAAAGAAAATATAAGACCCTGTGGCCTGTACATGCATATATTTTATTAGTGCTGACATAATGTTCTCGAAAAATAATCTACATGAACTTGCCTTTGCCCTGTTTCATTTTCTTTATTGGATTTGCACCAAAACGAATTCAATGCTTGCACGCATTTATTTGAATATTTTTTCTATAAATATTAAATTTAAAAAAAAAAGAAATTGCTTCATTTGTTGGTTTATAAGAAGTGTGTCCTTTCGAACTTCTTATGAAATCCCAAATAAAATAAAATTATATGTTACCAGATTCGAATGAGTTTAATTTTAAATGTCTGATCGAAAAAACATGTACCCAAAAGTTTATAACAATCTCTTTTTAATTTAACCAAAAATAATTATAGTTGTAGTTCCTTTCACGACCGGTTATACTAGGATAACGTTATCTTGATTTTCTGTCCTCTTTCTCCTTTACGTAACCCATCTCCATCAAAAACCCATCACAAACCGTCCATTTATTCATCAAAATCGCCACGTGTCGTACTCTTCCACTCACACCGTACGCTTTCATGCAGAGAATACAAACCCTCCTTCTTCATCACGTGTTATTTTCTTCACCCAAACCAAACGCAGCCTCCTGTTGGCGAGTGAAACGCACGTGCCAAGATCCGGGCGTGGAAGACACGACG